TGATGTTATTAAATCCAAAAGAAACATCGATAATGATTTGAGATTTTTTTACAAGGTTTGGAGGCTTGAGTGAAGGGTGCGTCCATTGACACTACTTCAAACTGTTTTTTTTTTTTTTATTATTATTTAGCGAAGTAAATAACGAGGCCAATTTCATTTTAGTTGACGCGGAGGTTTATCCGGGAGAGTCTTAGAGGTGAGGTTAGAAATTAGCGGGTTTGGATGATTATTTGTTTTATAATGAAATTTTTTATAGTGTTTTGAAGCGAGGATGTAAAGAATTTGAATGTTCAGGTCTTTATGGATTGTATGATTACTAACATACCAAGGTGCATTTGTCAGAAGACGAAGACTAATCGACTGAAAGGATTGGAGAAGATTTAGGTTTGAGTTTTTGGTTGAGCCCCAGATTTTAATACCGTATGTCAATGCAGGACGAATTATAAACACATTTATGGAAATAATAAATATAAATTTAGTCTTACACGATGATATCGTATTTTATTATTTTATCAACATCTATAATGTTTTATTTTGTTTTCTAACTTTCACCAACGCATTTCTGTTCCGATACACTAATAATAATTATGTCAGATTTGTCGTAGAGTGCGATTATGCAATTCAAATGAAATACATAGATAAGTAACATAATAATATTGTTGCATTATGAAAATGACTTAAAAAGATAAAATTAATTTTTTTTCAACTTTTCGTCTATACCTCTACATTTAAGTTAATGTATTTCTCCCGTCAAAATTGATTAAATCATAAATAGATAAAATTGACTTTGATACTATAATTATTTATAATTTTTATTAACTTTTTACAGCTTCCACCAGCTCAATCGGTGTGTCATAATATTGTTATATTACCTACTTCAGAAACTATTAAAAAAATTAATAAACGCGTCCAGAATAACTTTCGCCCATACGCATTAATTTACCTTATAAGTAGGTAAGTATGTTTTCTAAAATTGACGTTTATAACTTACAACAGGTAAATATAATCTATGTTCTATTCAAGGACTATATAAAAAAAAACATGATGTAACCCGATTTCATATATATTAATCTAAACAAAATTTTAAATGCGATTTCGAAACACTTTAACTTTATGGCAATTTTCATTATAAAAATATGGGATAAGGTTTTTGAAATTATAATAAATTTCCTCACATAATGCAACTAAAATATTAAATTATAGCTAAATGTTTGTTCTAGACTATCAAATTATAAAATAAAAAGTTACAACGATAATTGATAAGTGCTATTTAGAATATAATCAAATTATAATTAGATATTATCTTTATCACCTGCAACTTTACTAGCATCAATGACACGATTTTGCAACTCATTATTATTATTATTACGAGTATGTACATACAAATTATTAAGATTAACAAATAACGATCATAAGTTCAACAGATAATAT